AAAGAATTCAGATCAAGTAAGTTCTGCACCAACTGTAAGTAGTTATTCCAACAGCATGACTAGTATGGTTTGATGACTTTGAAGATTTCATGTAAAAATGTCATATGGTGCCTATAACTAGAGAAATTCTATATAAACGTGTAAAATAATATAAGAATGGGTCTGCCTTCAACTCCTTGTGTACAAGAAACTCCAAATGCTATTTTTGTGAGGCTTCCATGCGACGGTAAACAGAATATGCTGCAAAATCACTGGGGTGCTGAGGAGGGTGTTTAGGACAAGCGAGTGTCCCAGGACGATGCCTGCCTTGGCAGGAACAAAGAGCTCACCTGGAAGAAGGTGCTTTCGGAGCACTGCCTCCACAGGGACTCCGACCGGGGCTTGTTCTGGCAGTATTTCTCATACATCTGGAAATCCTCTCGCTGTAAGGGAAACCAAAAAGCAAGTCACATGCATGCACACAAACCTGCTGGGCAGCCAAATAAGGTGAACACCCCAACTCTAAATTTGCTTTTATCTCTGCTGCTACCCGTAATATCTAAAAGTCACAGAGTTTGGGTGAAAGAACCACTATTGGGAATCGCAGCAGACCATGGTGTAGTCACGACTGCTGCTCTCCCCCATCTGCCACTGGCCATGCACCTACGCTCCCTGCCTTGCTGTTGGTATTGCGTATCAAAAGCATCTCACTCAACTGACATAACTGAGATGTTGCAGAGTGTGACAAATTGGGAGAAACATTGGCCTTCAAGGCTGCTTTATATGTGAAAATGAGTCACCCACCCTGTCTAGGAAACAAAATCCCACTCTCTCGGGTGCTCCCAGGCAGCTTTCCAGACTGTGCAGGAAAATTCTGCAAGAGATGGGAGAAGAGACAAAATGCAGTGGTGAGCAGGGTACGGATTGGGTATTTAATCATTATAGGAAATCAGTCTGATAAAAAGGGGAAATAGAGCCAGGATCATACTTGTTGTGGAAGTCATATATCTCGGGCATGTTTCCGAAGAGGACATCCTTCCTGTTCCTCAGCACAGGAGGCATGAGGATGAGCATGGCGGGGTTATCCATCTCAGCTCTGTAGCCCTGCAGGATGCAAAAGGGGCTCATCACTCAGTTGGTAAGGCCTTGGGTTGGCATGTCCTCGGAGGCAGATGAAAAAGGGACGTGAACAGACTTTCAATACAATCTGCTTTGTTTCAAAGTGCAACATCCCTTTTATTTCCTTATTTTTGTCCCTAAACCCGTCTTTCAGTCCCCAGGCATGCAGGGGTTGTGGTCCAGCAGGAGATGGCTTGGGATGGCTACCGTGGGGCTGGCCAGCACTGCCAAGATGGTCTCTGTTCACTAAAGGGAAATTGCAGCCACTTTCTCCTTGCTATGGCCTGACTGTGGGATTGGTCCCGGAGGAATACTTGTCTGGGTTGAACACATCCGCTGCTATGACCGTGGAACACAGGAGTGGCAAGGTCCTTGTAGGGGGTATGCAGTTACACAAAACCTCAGGAGAACCGGTGCACGAGGTGACTTGTTACAAAGCAGAGACAGCTTGAGATCAAATACCAAAATCAATGGGCTTTTTGCTCTTGTACAAGACCTGCTGAGCACTAGGGTCTCACTCTTCTTGATGCCTCAGGATTTCTGTCCTCTGTGGCTCCACCTGCCTCCTGAAATCACAGCCTCCCAAACTGGGGAGGAACTGGAAGGAACACCGCTGCACTACAAATTGTTGGGTGGAACTAGGAAACAATGCAAACCTCCTCTCAGTAACATCACATCACTGCGCCAATGCAAAAACATTCACCAGATATGGTAAACATCCTAACTGTAAGGTAATGAGAAGGCGTGGCCGGAGCTCAGGACCATCGCTGCATAGATGACATCAAGAAGGCCATTAGCCACAGCTCAAGCTGGCCATGCTAGTCATCAAGCGTTGCACAGAACTGAGGTCCTCTTAACACGAGTAGCAAAAATGCTTTTGCAAAAATGTATTCGGCATGTACGGCATATCTTCTTTGGCTTTCCAAATTAATCTCTCACACTCACTATGGTTGGAATTGGTATTCCTTACGCTAAGCAGGCATTTTGTAGTGGATTAAGGATGCAGTACAAGATAAGTATCTGGAAAATTAGTCATTTATATTTAACCACTGCAAGCAGGCTTCCCTCTTTAAAGGAAATACTATCTTCAGAAAACTTAAGTCTATCTGTCCATTTTTCTCTATCTAAACTTGATATGCACAGTAATAAATCTGTGTACCTGCCAACCACTTTATCATACGGAGTGTGGTTCAACAAAAAAACCAATCAGTGCAGGGCAATTACATGTAACTACCTGCAGTCCAACAGATTTATATCCTGCTTGCTCCTGGGTGAGAGAAAGGCAAGGGAGGAGAGCTATTTAACAGCCAGTTTGTTTTGGCCATCAGCAAGAGTTATTTTGGAATAAAGTGTCTAAAGTGACAGTATGAGAAATTATAATCTGGTTTCTAAAGAAATGTGCTTTATACATTCACAAACTTCACAGTATTGAGACAGAATCCTCCCAAGGATAAAACACAAGCTTCTTTCTTTTGTCTCCAAAGGCAAGAGAAATTAGGGAACAGTTAAAGATAACAGCTTTTTGTACATTTTTCCAGGCACTGATAAAACTAATTACCAGAGCTTTTGTGTACAAACAGAAGGCTTCTCCCTCATTCTAGATGAAAAGCTCATCCTGACACCAACTGTTCCTGCAGATGCCTCCAACAAAGAAAAGCTAAGGAGAAAACTTGAAAATTTATGACTAGCTTGGGATCTAACAGTTTGGTAAAAACCTGCCCCAACACATTTTGCTTAGTTTGACAGAGTGGCGGGTGCCCTTTTGTACAAGTCACCAGGGAACAGTAATGAGCAATCTGAAGAAGTCACTCACCGTCAAAACAGTGAAGAGTTCCTCTACGTACACTCTCTCAGTTTCTATAAGCTCATTTATGACATGGCTAAAATAAAGAAAAAAAAAAGAAGTATATTACTTTTATATCTGTAAAAAAGCCACAGGTAATCAGTGCAGTTCAACTAGCCCAAAACATAGTGCGATCTCATGAACAACCAACATAGGGATGATACAACAGGTAAAAGCACAAGAGAGAACACCTAGGTCAGGCTGGAGGAACACATGGATGGGGCAAGGACTGGCCAGAAATAATCATCATTTTGAGTGATGTAAACAGGGTGAAAGCTTACCCTTTTAGTATATCTAAGTTGTCATCACTGTCTGAAATAAAAGACTGCAAGGAATTCCGTTTTTCCTGATAGTCGTGCATTACTTCGATCTGGAAGAGAAATGGGATGCACTGGGAAGAGCTGCAGGGAGGTCACTGCAGAGGCAGGACGAGCCCAGGCCCTGATGCTGGCATGGGAACTCCTTGGAGAAGGATGAAATACACTTCCTTTTAAGAAACCCTTTGTGACACAAAACTTTAAAAGAGCATAGTGTACAATGGGTAGCCAATTACTTCCAGAAATTACTCTGCTACATAAAATCTGAAAATACTGGTAACATAATTCATTAGTGCAGAGACCAGAGAACAGTTTCCACAGGGGAAATAACTGCGGATGGGGAGTTTTCCTAATAGACATCACTGTTATGCAAAGAACAAGTTCAGGGAATAACACACAGGAAATCGATATCTGTTACTTGGAAAAACAATCTAAGATAGATCTCAGGTGCTGGACTAATCCAACTAAACCATACAGCTACGAAAGGTGTTTTGGTTTGGTTTTTTTTTTTAAAAAGAAAAAAAAAAAGCGCATCTTCAAATCCAAAGTCTAAGTACAATCAATATTTAGAAGGGTTTCAGTTTTTCAGCGTATATAACTCATTTGGATTACATGAATAATTTTTACCTTGCGAGAACTTAGAGTTTTTCTTGATGTTTTCTTCCCAGGGAGAGAGAGATCAAATGAAAATTTCAAACTGGAATTAAAATCCACACCTTGGGTAGAAAAAAAAACGTAATTACATAATGTACACCTCTAGTGAAGGAGACGATTCAGACAGAAACTAATAAGTCACAAAGAAAAATGGGATACATTTTAAGAATGAATAATTAGTTAGCTAATACTACAAGGAAACTGACAAAATAAAGGATATCTCAAGCAACAGTACTAATAGCAGATAACACAAGTCACACTGATGGTCATAAAGGCCATAAAGTAAAAAGTAATCAGAAAAAACAAAATGTCCATTAAGTGAATACTGTAATCAAAACCTAACAAAGTCTGTGAAGCCTGTGCAAATGATAGAAAACAATAAAATCAAATAAACTACCAAAAGGAATATCACCTACTGGGATACTGTTTTAAAGTCCTTTTATGAACATAGGGCAAGATGCTCAGCTGGTACAAACTGTTCCTCCACCTTGGAAGAATTTATTGATATTGTCAGTAAATAATCACAAGTTGTAATACTTTGGGTCACAGAGGTAGACTGGAAGTTTAACAATAAAACATCAATCTCCCCAACGAGTTATATGGCATCTTTCAAATACTTCTTACTCCTGAATAGTCAATATGGCAATTCTTCACCAAAAGGGTCTTTTCCCCCAATATGAATGGCAATAATTAATTTCTCCAGCATCGTGCCGGCTCCAGCCTCAGCGACAGCTCCACATGCCAGGCTGCAGCCCCAGTGGCTGCACCAAATCCTGAGATGGACCAAAAATAAACGCGTTCTGATGTGCAATATTCACCTGGGTTACAAATAGAAAGAAGAGGCTAGCAAAGTGAAAAAAAAAAACCAAACTGGACTAATGAGCTATCTTTCCATTAGGGTGAAAAGAGGTATCACAGCATATATGAATGCAACAGCATCTGTGTCTAGATCGAAGGTTTGAACAGTGCTGACACCGAAGAGCCACCTTTTGTGAAGCAGAAGACGTAGGGAGAAAAATGGAAGCAGAGGAATGCAAACCCACGTGGAGAGCAAGCCCCGCGTCTTCAGACGGGGCTGTTGTAAGATCAAGCTCTTACACCTTATCACACCAACGAGGCCTTAGACCTCCACGTGTAAACACGCCGAATGAGTAAGGAGAGAGATCGGGACGCTGGAGAGCAGATCAGAGGTGTCCATGGGGTGTGCCCCATCACGGACAGGAAAACCCAAAAGAAGTGAGGACTTGCCAGTGGTCCTACTGGGAGATTCCCCCTGGGAGGAAGGGAACACGGATAGGAAGTTAGACGGGAGATGGTCACCAGCTGCAGCTCCATGTTCTGTGGCACGAGTGACTTTACTCCAGCACTCGGGCTCCGCCGCAGCCTGCTGTACAGCTGCTGCACATCTCACTACGCTTTATGGCTCAGGACAGGATAGGTTTACTCTTTTTTCCCCAAAAAAGCAACTTCAGAATTAGAACCACATTTATCAGACAGGCTTCAAATCCAAGGCAAAGATGAAAGAGGAAGCATCTGTCCTCAGACAGAAAAAGAAGCCGGGGGAAACAAAAGAAAGAAAGAAAAAGAGGACAAAAGTAATGTGCTCAGAGGTGGTTTGGTTTCAATCCACACCATAAAACCCATCCACCTCAAAGCACTCCCAGCGGAGCCCAGCATGCGTCTTTGACACTGCACATCACGCCAGCAGGCCTGCAGCATTTTGATGTTTCGTGTCAAACAGAGGCCTTATTAAAAAGCTCTCTTGGCATGATCTATCCAAAGAGGAGCCTTTTGTCTTTCCCCGCTTGCTGGCTATGCTCCTTTCAACACACTTGATCATCTCTTTCAGGAGGAGAATTAATGGAGGATACCTGTGCTTTGCAGGTGACTGAGGGTCTTTGCTAGAAAAATGTGCATCCCATAAAGGCATGAAATAAGTCCAGCCGATTGATGATGGTCTCACAACATCTGACAGCGATGGCCACCCATTTGCCCCTACTCTTAAAGTCAATAATTCCTCCTTAACACTCTCCTGTTTCTCGAAAGCTGGAAAAGTTACATTACGTAAAGTGGGCAATACTCCAATTTAAAGACTCAGAGCTTTTTTCCTGATTGAGGAGGGAGGTTCAGAGAGCAGTGTGGTCTAGGGAAGGTGGCATCGGCCTGGGGAAAAGGAAGTTTTGGGTTTATTTGCTTCACTGGCCTGCATTTTGAGCAGCTTAGCTCCCTTCACTGCATCTAGCTTCATGCCCATCCCTTCACTAGCTTGGTTTTTTACATTAGTCGCTGCCTGAGCTGGAGCCACTTGTACTGTTTGCATGGCACCTGCTACGATTCACCATAACCAAGATTCATTAATTAATCTTAAAACTTTTGTGTTAAAACACAAATTTTTAATTGCTTTATACAGTCAGATCACTGAATTTAATATTCCCACATAACTTAGCATGTCCCTGGTTTAAAATACATGGATGTTACTTTGGAGTACTTTTTAATTCTCATACATACAGGGCTGCCAAGGATGAAAGTTTTAACGTTATCATTTAAAGTTAACATTGTGCCACATCCCATTACCACAATCAAGGCAGAACATTCAGCGAACTCAGCTCAACCAGAATTTGTACTTTTATGGGCATTAATTATTACACAACTGGGATTTAAGGAAGACATTCTCAAGGAATCAAAGGGAGTTAAGCATCCAGCTCATCTCTGTTCATGAGATTTGAGCTCCTCATTTCTCCAAGCTCCTTTGCAAACATCAGTCTAACTTTATGTCAGTTCCAGCTCAAGACAGTTATGGAGACTGCCACAGAGAATAGGTATGCTAATAAATTTATAAACCTTGCCCTTGTTCCCTGTAGTACTAATTCACCATTTTTCAGCCCAATAGGATGCTAGTAAAGCAGAACTGGAAGTATATGCTGTTTACAGCTCTCTTTTTTTCACTGAGTAGGAAGTAATAAACACCAAGCAACCAGCCCCATTCTTCACACAGGTATGGGAAGCTAGACTCAAAAATTGGAGAGATAATAAATCATCTCATATACATTTAGCATTATACAACAACTCTGTCTCAGCCAGTAAGGTCCAGTTGGTTTCTCAAAACCGTCCTTAGCCTTACTCTTCCTGCCTCAAAGCAATATTATAATCCAAAAATACCATAAACTTAGAATATTTTACCATGTTTAGGAGAGAATAATGGTGATTTTGCTCTTGGTGGATTTTCTGGCCGAGGGGCTACTAACTGGACGGGCCGCACGTGTTTATCCAACAGCTTCTTGAAGCAAGACTGCCGATTCTCAAACATGCTCCGAACGTTTTCAAGCTTGACATGCACTGACTGTATCTGGCACTGTAGAGAGTGAAAAAGACTCCCGTGATCAAATAACTATCATTATTTTGCATTTTGGCCCAAAACAGAGGACTATAAAGCTGACAACACCACAACACAGTCTGATCTTGCTTTTCATTTGTGTAACAAGGAACTGGAAGGGTTGCTTACCTTCAATTCAGATGTTAAGACTGACTCAAAATCGTAGTGTAGGGCTTGGGGATCATAGTTTAAGTAGGCTGAAGAGCTTTCAAGAAATCTTTCTATGTCCTGGAGAGCTTTCTGAGCGCCTTCTTTAGACTGGCACTTATCCATCTGCTGGTTGGCGAGCAGGTAGGCACCTTCATCGCAGCACTGCAGAGCCTGGTAACAGCACAGGGCAAAGACGGGGAGCGAGACCATCAGCGGCACCCCTACTAAATCAAGGTTCCCATGAGGAATATCATTTACTGGATCTGTATTTTCAACATGGAGATAATTAGCACTCCTAAAGAGCTCAGCGGCTATTGCATTTTGATGAGAAAGTAGAAAGGCCACATTTTTTCTGGAGGGTGACTGCAGTCCTCAACATACCCAGCCAAGATGTGCTCCCACTTGTACCTTGATAAAACCAGTGGTATAACTGACGCAAAAGCACTATTTAGTGCATAGTTGAACCAAATGATAAGCAGATCTTTATTTCTCCAAATCAGAAAGCTGAAGGGGGCACTACAGAGTTTACAACAAGACAGGCAGGTTTCTTGAGATAAATGCCTGGCTCAGTGCAGACCTGAACTGCGAAAAATGCTCAAAGTAATCACATTCATGTTTAAAAAAAAAAAAAAAAAAACAAGGATTTTAAATTGCAGTTTAAAGTTGTACATTTAACATGCACAAGTAATAGATGAATGCCAGGCGGGGGTTCAGTTGGCACTTGTACACTGTGGTGTGCACAGGCATGAGAAGATGCTGCAGCCAAGAACGACAGAGGACCTCCAGTGCTGTGAAGGGGAAGGGAGAGCGTAGAGAGCAGGACCACGGTGTGCTCCAGCAGAGCCCATGGGCTAGACCACCAGGACTGCAAGGACCCCAGGAGAGGACACTGCCCTGCAGCTGAGAGGCTGCTGAGGAATCGTCCGTCCCCACAGATTAATGCAATATTGAAGTGGGGCATACAGAGAAAAAACCCAAGTTCCCTAGTCCCCCAAAACAGTGAAGTGGAACAGGGTCAAACTTCGCTGCTTCTCTTAATGGGCTCAAGCATATTACAGTCGTGTGCCTTCTGGCCTAATTAGCATGAATTTCCCTAAATGAATTTTTGATGCCGATTAAGATATCAAAGAGCGTTGGAGCCACATGACTCCACTTCCACGCTAGCACACAGCAGCTGCGCCTATCTAACAATCTGTCACCTTATTTTACAGTGAGCTATGTTAATTCTTAATAAATCACTAACAAAAAAAGGCTGGAGTTTATCTGAAAGCATTACCTCTATTGCACTGGGTATGAAAACCTCAAAAGTCAATTAACACATGGATGCACCATGAAAGGAGGAGCAACAGCAGCAGCTGAACTTTAGTGTTTGGAATTGTCCCCTGCAGATGCCCATCTCTTTCTGCTGACTATTCACAGCACCAGCAGATATCTGTTTGCTAACTTAACCAGCTAAGTGAGGGGTGAAGCACTCCCCCAGCCTCTGAGGCACTTTCCTACCATGAACTGTTGACACAAAGCTGCAAATTCCAGATGCTTCCAGCTAAGAAGTGGAGAGGCTAACCCCATGGAAAAGCTCACTATCTCTTTCTCAGGGCACTATGTCTCTGAACTCTACCTGCTGAAGGCGTGTATGAAGATCCAAGGTCTTCTGCAGCCGCAGCTGCTTCCTTTTGATCTCATCAGACAAGACATCAGAATGGTGCCGCAGCTCGTTGCATTGCTGGCAAATTAAGTTGAGTGCGTAGTGATGATTTGCTGCTAGCTGGTGTCCGTGTAGTATCACCACCTGAGCCTTCCCTATCAGATCCTTCAGTGAAAGGAAGAGAATGGATTGGACACTTACTGAAATAATGCCAAAATATCTACATGTAACAACATGCACTTTCTTGTCTTACCAGTTTTCAGGTACACATGGAGATGACTGCCATTAGGAGTAGCCAGAATGGGTGGCTTACGCAGGATAAAATGGCACCCATCATCTGGGAAAAAAAACTTTTGCTATCCAAAAGGAGGATGAAGAAGAAAACAGTATTTCACCAAACTAGCAATGCTGTGAATGGCTGCTGGCAATGTATTGCTGCCATCTCCAAGGACTGCACTCTAAAAAAAAAAATGCAGCTGATGTCCATTTTAGGCATACTATGCTCAGAAGCATGAAAGGGAATTGGATCGGTTCAGGTCTACGGTGAAAATAAACCATCTCTTTGCAGCAAAGCTTGATGCAAAGGTTTTCAGGAACACATGGAGATGCCTTAGAAGTAGCCAGAATAGGTGGGGTACGCAGGGTAAAATGGCACCCATCATCTGGGAAAAAAAACTTTTGCTATCCAAAAGGAGGATGAAGAAGAAAACAGTATTTCACCAAACTAGCAATGCTGTGAATGGCTGCTGGCAATGTATTGCTGCCATCTCCAAGGACTGCACTCTAAAAAAAAAAATGCAGCTGATGTCCATTTTAGGCATACTATGCTCAGAAGCATGAAAGGGAATTGGATCGGTTCAGGTCTACGGTGAAAATAAACCATCTCTTTGCAGCAAAGCTTGATGCAAAGAACATGCTATCTTGTCTGCACATCTTAGTCAGTGTAATGGTTACGTCTCCTCCAGGGTTGGCTTTCTGCTGGGACTGCTCCCCTGCTGCACCCTGTCTGCCTGGCCTTTTGTTCCTCCTCACTCTCTCCACAAATATTTCTTCCAAATGGCCAAAAAGCCGTAGACCTTTCCCCTAAGACTCTTATTTTCAAAGAAGCCTCTGGGGGTTGTGTCCAGATCCCTCAGGACCTCCACTAACCCTGGCCCACTTGCCAAGCACATCCCTCTACAGAAGTCACATCTTCAGTTGGGCTCCTGTGAATCATCTCTCTTCACTCTTCTTTCCCCTACATCTCTTAGTCTTCATCCATATGTTATGTTCAAATCACAGACATGTCAAGATAGCAACTTTTTTGCCTCTCCGTGCGCCTGGTAACAAGTCTCTGCCTATTAGCACTGCTAAAGCACTTAACATATAAATAATTCTTCTTTTAGCTCATTAACTCCCACACCTCCCCTATGTTCAGACATTTATCTGTTCTGGATTTTCATGGTGGCTCAGCAATTTATTTTAACTATGATAATTAAATACCCTGTTCCTGGCTTTCAGAGTGATCACAGCATTGCTGCGCAGAGCAAAGACATGAAATCAATCCTTTTGTGCAGCCACTTACCAACGAATTACACCAGAACCATGTAATTTCAGAAAACACCTCCTACCACAAATACACAATGTGCCTCCTGTGTTTCATTAGTGCCTCTTTCTGTGAAAGATTGTCTCACCTGAGCCATACCATCGAAATGACCCAAGTCCTTGAGCCTCTGTTTTACTTGGGGGACACTGTCGCCAGTGTCGGGCAGCTCCGCTTGCTGACCCATTAAAAATTCAATGGCATTCTTGACCTAGACACAAAGAAGAAGACTGCTGCAAAAGGATACAAAGCATAGGCAGAAAATCATTCTCAGACCAAAATTAATCACACTTTAGCTAAGACTGCTAAATCCAATAATAAAACTAGTGTCCAAGAACTAATTTCTAAATTCAAAGATGCTTCTATCAGCAAAATCTATGTGACTGCAGGGCAGAGATAACTAAATTAGCTCTGAATGAGGAAGCACAGTGGTCTCCCCAGGCTAACTAGACCTGCCAGAGTCAAGGAACAGAAGCATAAATTAAACACTCTCAAAATAAAAAGCATAAAAACTTCTCTCCCCTCCTTTTCGTCTCCAACTCTTCCTTCTGCCAACAGAAGTGCATCTGATCATACCTCTTGAAAACTTTGCTCAAACTTCCACAGCTGTAAATATTGCTCCATTTTTAACTGATGTTTTTCCCAGAAGCCATCAAAAGCAGTCTCCATCTCACGCAGCTGACCAAGTAACCTTGAGCACAGAAAAAGGGCAGGATTGGAAAAATTCACAGAGGACAAGCAGAGATGGACAAGCCCTAGAGATCACTTATCCAGGTCTTCAGGACCCAAGCTCTCAGGAGAAGTCAACCAACATGTATATATGACTTGTGAAGATCTCAGAGAATTTTAATGAAATCATCACTGCAGATGACAGCACCTGGGTGAAGCAGTTGTTGCTATCTCCATTTATCTGAACAATATTTGGGAGTCTGGCACAGGAGAGCCCTGCATCTGCTCCACAGCCTCATCATATCAGTGGGGGAAAAAATCAGAGCAGGTCAAAGTCGTCTGACAGAAGTCACCCAGCAATTTGATGGGCCTGGAGCAAAACTCTGGTATCTTTGTCTTTACCTGTTTGATAGGTGACCTAAACGACACATTGACACTTAAATAACTTGAGTGTTTACACTCAAAAATCAGGCAAATTAGGAACATAGTGCACTCACCGATTCACAGTCTCCCAGTCCCCAGGCCTCTCGTGGTGTGGGTCCTGACTGCATTCCCCGGAGTCAGGCTCTTCAAAACTGCTCAAAAGCAAGTTTCCCTCTTTTGTGACTGCTCTAATATCTTCCTGTAGAATGCAAAACATTTCTGATTCAGGCTACTTTTTGTGAGGTAAGGCTAAGTCCTTTTGTGTTTCTCCTGCCTTGGTTTCCCTGTATGAAATGAAGCACCAGTATCCATCAGACCAAAGGACTCCCAGCAGATGTTTTAGCCCTGTTAACGTGGGGTTGGCCCCTGGAGCTGGAGGAGGCTGAACCATGGACTGGTCACCAGGCTGGGTGGAAACTGGCACGCATGAAAACATCAGGCCACAAAATGATTCAAGAGGCAGGAGGACAGCACTACTACAGGTCTCTCTCGGTGAGCAGGTGGGTTTGTGTTTTTGATATATCTACAAGTTCATGTATTCAAGCAAGTATTTCTGCAGCTTGGAGACTGTGCTTCTCCATCAAGGTCATCACAGGAGGTTGTAGGGAGAGCATCCCATAGTGGGACAAAGCTAGGACTGAGATCATGAGGTGGCACCACTTACTAGAGCCTCTATGTATAGAGGCAAGTCAGCACTTTCAACGTAACCTCCACTTAGGGACAATTTAAACCCTTGATGTGTTCATTAGCATCAGCTGAGGTGCTTTGTGCCATGTTGGGCTCAGCCCCAAAGCAAACAGGTGCATTTAGTCAACCAATATCAGAAAAAAGAGAGCAAACACAGAGGTGAAAAGGAAGGAGAAAACAGATGTGGCTGATGAACCGAGTTGGAAGAAGCCCTGAAGGAGAGACAGCTCCTGGAGGAGTAAGAGCCCGTCCTAGGAGATGGCCAGATTTCTATTGCAAGAGAAACAATGGCAAAACCACTTTAGGGGGAAGATTCAGAGAGCATGGACTTGCTTAAATGTCTGCCTGCCCCAGATAGCTCACAGCAACCTAAACATAACTGCATCTTCAGGGCAGCAGCCCAGGAGCAGAATGACATGGCTGCAGGAGCTTCTCCTCTCCCTGCACCAAGTGTCCGCTGCCCGTTTGCATCCCTATCAGTAAAACATCACAGAAGGTGACCACAAGGCAAAAATCCCGTCTCCTTTTGATACTACCGCATCCCGGAGACTCAAAAGGGAAGAGGAATTACACAGTATGCTTTAGACCGCAGGTGGCTGTTATTTCATCCTCTTACATCTCACTCTCCAGAGACCTGCGTTCCCCTTTGGATTCAAAGCCTTTCATTATACGTATGACAAAGTAGCCCGACTGTCAAACAGGTGTTAACTCGATTTTTTTCGATTCAGTATATCAAAGAGGTTAATTTCTTAGTTACTCTGTTTAATTAATTTCTGTCATTTTTTCATTGTGTTTGCAACCAGCTTCTGTTCAGTATCACAGCTACATAAATTATTCTGATCAACTCATTATCTGAATTCAGGAATCAGCTGTACCAATCTTGGGGTTGTCATGAGAGAGACAAGGATCCCATGTCTTGCTGTCACCACAATCTGTGCACAGTTTCTCATCCGCTTTCATCTTTCATGGTCTTAGAAGGAACAAAAGAAAAAAGCCAACGGACTTCATTTCAGTCAAACACCAACGAGCGGTTTTGATATTTGAAATTAATAGACGAGGCATTAAAAGCAACAGATGCCTTGTACCGAGCGCTGCTGTGCTTTATACGCAAATGAAAACACATGACATGTTTTACTTCTCCACAGAGGAAAGTGCGTACTATTGACTGGTTTATATACAGGACTACATTGTGGAGCCGATATTTGCCCCCTACACTTTGGCTATAGTCCTAAGCATGAAGTTTAAGTCAGTCAGTCATATTGCAATATATATAGCTGCTGTTTTATACTACAGCTCTCTTCATTTTCAAAGAAGAAATAAAAGACTATTGGCAGTATCTGGAATGATACTTTCTGTACTTATGCACATACATTTATGCCCACACACAGCATAGTTTGGATGTCATTTTGCATATTTCTTACAGGCAGCCTTCTGGGAACTCACTGTCACGTGAATGACGAATGATTATAAATGAAAATAGATACACTTCTTTGACTTATGTAAACGAATCCTCTCATAAAGCAAAGGAGCTCATTCTTCAGCCGCACAGCACGGCTATTAACATGGGAATCGTTTCCGAAGTGAGGGTTTGGGGACAGGCCTGTGCTGTCCCCAGAAAGGTGCAGCAGCAGCAAAGACAACAGCTTGATATAGCAGCAGCTGGCTGCACTAAAGCTTCCACTAAATCCTATAATAATATTAACCACAACTACAAATAGTTGAAAAAAAAAATCTTAAAAAATTAAAGAAACAAATGTTGTTTAAGATGAAACATAAAGGCTCACATGAAGACAGGCATTGCATCAGGAATGCTCTGTACCATGCGCTCACAAGAAAGCTTTACCTTGGATGCTCTCCAGCACAGTTTCCTTAAGTCCCCCTGGGGAAGCCGCATCAGGCGGAGGGACCTGGGGACAAACCATCCCTCCAGACCTGCTGATGGTCTTTGTGCGCAGCTTTCTCTAGCCATGGGGGGGGAAGCAGAGGGAACCCCACCGGGGGCACGAACCCTCAGGCGATGAAGCCTCCCACCCACCCTCCTGCCAGCGAGACGTGCAAAGCCCACAGGAGGAGCACGCTACAGACACCAACTCCTGCAGCCAGCAAGGAGGCGGCAGCTGAGACAGTTTGCTGGATGCTGGCAGGGTAATTTGCTTGAGTGGATGGCAAATGTAAGGGTAACATACAGAAATAGTCAAGCTGTGTTTTATTTTGTCTGTCAACATGTACACATGCATGGGAGGGAAGAAGGAGTGGGCACCAAACAAACAGGCAGTCAAACCCCAGAAATCCCATCTTGCTGCACAAATGGGCTGGAAACACGCGGCAGAGCTGCTGAGGAGACATACCTTGAGCTGGTAGTACTTTTCCGTGCGCAGGGCCAGGATGCGCTCGATTGAATACATGTCGTCCGGTAGCTCGGTCTCTGCTAGCTCCGTGCCAAAGGATTGTAACATCTGTGCGATTTCCTTCACAGTTAGTGCAAAACTCTCTATTGCCTGGTGAGAGACGATAATTGCAATCAGCTTGGGATTCAGGATGTTCCTACAGCTCATTAAGAGTGCATGAAGAGCCAAGACTGAGGTCTGCAGGGGAGCCCAACAGCTTGCTCTGAGAGAGGTGGGTGGGACGTCCGCTGCAGGCGGACCTGATGTGTGCTGCGGTGCATTAGCTAGTGGCCACCAACACGTGGCCAGGTGGCTTTTAGTGCAGTTTGAATCCACAACAGGGACTTAAATGAGGACAGTATTGGGCAGAGATACCTCATGCTTCGGTTTCTGCTGCCTGTTCTTGTGCACTCTGAGATTTTTCCTAGCGCATATTTGAGGTCTATAGCAGAAGCCACCATAGGATCCATCTCACATATTCCTGTAATTCCTCTTCTATCTTCCTGCTCTGGTTAACCCACACTGCAAACCACCTCCAGGCAGTAAGGCTTTGGAGATGTGTTTGGCTTCTTGGTGATGGACATATCCAGCTTTGCAAGCCCAAATGGCAGGTTACAAGGCAGTGTGGCACCACGGTCACCTCATCTGCAGCTTCACCAGGAGGACAAAGGCAGAAGCTAAGCAGCGTGCCCAAGACAAACTGGAGACAGTGGGATGGAAGTGAGTGCTGCTGGTACCTCCCCAGCACATCCCAGACAGCCACTGGGAGCTCTGGATGCCAGACAGCTCCCATACCATGGGGCGAGGTGGGGCTCTCCCAGCCCCGCTCTTTGCTCTGATCTTCCCACCGGTTGCAGGAGGGGAAGAGCGCAGCCTGGACTGTGACCGGGCGGTTGGATCAGCAAGGAGCTGCCGGTCGCCTGCTCAGCTGGCAGGGAATCACCGCAAAAGCAGAGGACATAGCCTTGCTGAGGCTTGAAACCTTCATGTGTCCTCCAGGGGACAAGAGCTCCAGCTCTCCTCTTGGGAATGGGGTAATAAACTCAAATGTAACAGATCGCGTCTATATTTTCTTTAAACAGCATGTATTTTCCATGGAAATTTCAGGAAATGTTTTATGAGCACACTACAAAGGCATTTTGAGAGAGGTTTCTCATATGGACACTTATCTACCATATGCAGCTACAGTCTAGAAACTCATCCTTTTCTTAGATTAATATTTTTTGTCATTCATTTTGTCATTTTTGCCTCCAAGTGTGAGAGCTATGTCATTATCAGTTTAACACATCATGCAAAAGAACAAAACTAAGAGCCAAAAATTAAAAAAAAAAAAAAAAAAAAAAAAAAAAATCACTAATTTGGCAGTGCTTCAGTGTAAACTGGCACAAAGTTAAAGGCACAAGCAATAGCTTGAGTTATTCCAGCTACAAAGTCTTGTGCTTTTGTCTCTACACTGAGCTCCACATCTGCTGGAGTGGACAATGTTGCAGGACAAGGGGCACTAGGATAGCCGGTACATTTTTCATTAGTGCTTCGATTTGTTGGGAAGGTAACTGGGAATCCAACCTGACATTAATCTGGGAGACAAAGTCCCAGTGAAAACTAAGAGCGTACAGGAAGCCTAGAAACACACGGCAAGGCGCAGCTCAGGGAATGAAATGCCTGATTCCTGGCAATATTAAAGGAAAACTCTTGCAAAGAAAAAAAAATAATAGGAAATTTTCTGAATTCTCTGCATTCAGTCAGTACGCAGAGAGCAGCCTCATTACCCTGGTTCCCAAACACATTTGTGATATTAATCACATGAAGCAACCATTATATAAAAAAAAAAAAATGCCTATATTGTATCTACTATTAAGGGAATTTTAATAAAGATTTAAGAAGACAGATCTTTCAGGAGCAGTTTTAAATGGAACTTGAGGGAGTTAATCATCCAATTCCCTTATAAACCCATCAAGTGCTTAACGCCACTTGACTCCTTTGCAAATCTGATAGGGGAAATGTAGTTGGCTTCAGGGGTTACTTTCAGCTACCCATTGCTCATTGCCTCACAGAAAACCTTCCTCAATCCTTCCCAAACGCCCAAGAGCCCAGTGCTCAGCCCCGGTACATACAGTCCTGAAGATGACCCACTCGCTGTGGCAGTACTCCAGGGTGCCTCCAAACTCTGGGGTTAATTGCTGTTCATCAATGTACGTCAGCAGGTCGCTAACCGAGCTCAGCATAACAACCTACAAACAAGGCAACACCATTAGTTGGTTGATCATCACTTCCACCCAAGTCATACACATATCAAGCTTACAAATCTTTTATGTACCTAAAAATTCGGTTTGCTCAAAATATTTTTCTACAGCATGACTTTCTTCTCATGCTTATGGCTTAACAGGGCTTTTATTTGATGTATTTGGCCATTTTTGTAAGCCAACCCTGATCTCCCAGGTGCTTTCTTCCTTAAATGCAAAACACAGTGAGATGCTGCAGTATCTGACTGCAGAACAGAACTGAAAGCAAAAGTAATGCAGGTTTTTGCAAGGGATGACCAGTAATCTGGAAAAAATACATACATTTTAATAAGTTATGAAGCATTGACCAATTTCACATAAATATATACTCATGAGTTTTTGTGTGTCTTGATCTGCCCTGGGATAAGTTGTGAATTTTCAAAACTGTGCAGATCACAATCGTTTTAGAGTGAAAAATGCAAGTTTGTGAAAATCATATTATTTCCTAAAGGAAAACATTGGTTTGTTTTGTGGGTTTGTAACTGTGTCAGCCTTAGATTCCATAACTTAGATTCCATACTTTTCTTCTCTTAATTATTCTCATTGTGCCCTATAATCAAGGTGGCCTTAGAAGTCTTGGAATCTTTGACTTGAGAATATAAAACCAGTTCAGTTGCTATTATAGAAACAAATACCAACATGATGTCAGTATGGAGTTTACATTGAGATGAAAATGGCGATTATGGGTGGAATTCATAGCAAAAGCTTCACTAGACATGTCTTTCGACTTTTCAGACATTAAACAAATTCCTGAGCATGGTTTTATCCTCCACAGAGGCATGCAGCCTACATGGGGGACGAGGACAGGCTGAGAAGCCCACCGCTCACTACCATGGACATGCTCTGTGGGCAGCAAACTGTGCGCAAGGGAGATGAAAAATGCTATAGGAGAGATTTCGTGGAAATATAGGGCATTACTGGCAGAGACACTCCAGTTACTCTTCACATAGGTGCCTGCAGAGTGTGACACTCTCGCCCTCCCGACCCGAGGTTCACGGGCAGCCTCCCAACACGCACAGGCACAACACCTCTCCACACTCGTACCGGTAACTTGAGTAGAAAATCCTCCTGACTGAACCGAAATCCAATGTCAGTGAAGGTGCGCTGGAAAAACCCCGTGGGACGAAGAACCATCACTAAGTGCAAGTTCCCTGGGAAAGACGCCTGCAAGGAAACAGAGACGACATTCAAACCGGGGACGCGGCAGGTCCAACAATGGCTTTCAAATGCCTTGAAAAGAGGGGAAATCATTCAGATCTTAGTATTTTTTTCTGATTGCCCTGATAGCCTTTTCTTATTTCCAAAACAGGAGGAAGACACCGTAAGTGGTTTAGAGATACGGGACGTAACTGCGGGAGGATTGTCCAGTCCCACTTCCCTTTGGAGCAGGCAGGAGTTCAGCCATGAGCCTTGGGGAGCCACTTATTATAAACTTCAATACTACATATTGTGTTCAGCATTATAACCTGGGGAGTGAAATTACGACTTAGCAGGGAACAGAGGGCTGGAACATCAAGGGGAATGACAGACAGATTGGGGAAGCAAAATTTATTGCCAAACTCGCTAATCATCCCATAACTGCAGCAAGCGTACTCTTCTTGTCCCTGGTAATTACCAGGCAACATTTAATTTGTGGTAAGAATTTGGAGTTTCCTGTCTACGCTGCTGGAGCCTTTTTACAAGCATATGGTTGGCAGGTGCGTTTTTAAACAGATCTGTGAAAAGGGTGCTTGAGAATGAAAAAGAATTTTTAAGAAAGTAGGAGTCATATCATTAAATTATGGATAAGTGCATGATGCAACGAATTGTGTTAATTAAGACACATGATTTTCTCTGAGATCCTGCCAGGCCAGGTTACATTTCTCCGTATATTCCTCCTTATATTATCCTCCTCCATTATCCTCCAAGAAAGGTGATAGTAGCATCTATACCAAGGGTGAGAGTAATGAACGTGTTTAGGTATTTTGCACTGCAGGGCACTTAATCTATGCCTTTAAAACAAAGATCGCTCCCATCAACATGCATTAGTATTGTTCAAAAAAGCCATGATTTACAGTTGAGATCTGACATCCATGAACTGCATCGTAACTCATCTGCTATGTTTTCTTGTGTAGGTAAGGTCAGGTTGTGGCTTCCATTGCCCACAACTCCACTTAGAAATGGACAATGACTTTTAGGATCAAATAAGCCACGTAAATTCAATATATTGATCTGCTCTTATTTTAGGTAGGAGCAGAAAAAATAAATAAAGAAATGAATGTGAATGAAGTGCCAAATTCATACCCTTTGGAAGCCAACAAGAATGGTGCCAGGGACAAAGATTTGGCGTTAGAAACAAGAGCAAACCATTAAATAACGGAGACGTTTGTGCTGGCTCCGGGCCCTGGGTGCTGTACCTCTGTTACACAGCACCTGCTTAGCACACAACGTCTCTGAAATGGCTGCCAGCCCCAGACACGCAGCGATGGCTACAGCCACACAAGACCCAAGGAGCCAACTTCCGACCCCATCAAACCTGCAGATGGGCCAAAGGTCTAAACCTGGCCACGGAATCACCAGACTTTCGCAGCTCTGAGACAGGTCTTGCCCAAGAAAGTGTGGGTGAGAGGCTGCAGGAGATCCAGGTTCAGCTCCCTGCTTCAATGCCTCTTTAATTAGCTCTACAAGGAAGATCAGATCTCCTGCAAGACAACCACAGGCAGGTCCTCCAACAGCCCAGCTACTAGATGCAGCTTGGAAGAGAAGCTCATCTTGGAGACTCTGCTCAGCTCAGGATTTTTAGCTGGAGCTTCCCATATTACTAGAAAGAAGATCATCCACAGGCTACTGAATATCTCTGAGGAGTTGGAGTGGTTCCTCACTTTGAGATTGAGAAGAACCTCTGCCTGGGATGTGGAAAACCTTCACTGAGGAAAGCACCACCAGAACTGGCACAGGCTTATAGACATTTTGAATGAACTGAAAATTTACAGCATTAATATTTCACTGGGAAGACTCTGGCAAGCTCAACGCTCATCCTCCAGCGCGTCCCAGAGAACCTGGCTGCCTCTCCCACCTCACTGCGCTGGCTCTCTGTTGGACCCGGTAACCGCTGCTATCGCTCTTTCCAGGCCTGTTGGCTGACCTGGCTGGTGCTTGACACTCTTCATGCTCCAGCATGTCCTACAGCACTAGGACATCCCAGGAAGAGACTTGTCAGTCTGCGTTCATGGCAATGCTGTGCCCATCCCTGCAGAGATGTAAAAGTCCATCGTGTCACTCCCTCATGCCCACCCTCATGTCCCTGTTTGCCTCATTTTACATCCTGGTCATTTCCCAGTGGGCATTTCTCTGCAGAAAGGACAACAGTAGCATCCCCCAACAAGGTTTCAAAGTTATCACCAAGGAGCCATCACGAGCTGCAAACCTCAAAGGAGCAAAATGCTTTTGCTCCAAGACAGACCCTGCGTCCATGGTGTTAATGGCTCAAACTGACTTGAACCAAAGCCTCGTGAGGCAAACAATCCTACAATGCTTTAAAGGACCGCAGAGAATGCAATTTTAAGTCCCTCTGCATGATTATGAGTCCATTGTAGGTGAATCCAATGGTGAAGTCCCACAGAGTTTGGGGAAAGTCACTGCTTCCAACTCAGAAACACTACAGTGTGTTCAGGTCTCTGAGTTTTAGGCTCCTACCTTGACCCCCTCCGGAAAAATGCATCAGGAATATCTTTGAGAATAACAGCCAGCCAGAGATACGTCCTCCCTTGGTCTTATCTCATTATCCTCATCCGTCCCCTGTCCCCTTTAACCCTGTTCATCACTTCAAGCAGAGATGAGTCCGCTTTGCCCTCTCCTACTCCTTCAAGTCCTTTTTGACAGGCACAATGGGTGGCTGTAGACTTTGAATGTCTTCTCCTGTGAGCCCTTGGGCAGGAAAGCCCCAGCTGCAGGAAGACGGGCCAGCGCTCAGGAGGCAAGCAGAGCCGAATGCCAAAACTACACTGCAACAGTGACAAGGTGTGAAACGCCTCTCTGCGAGCAAAGGTGCCTTTGGACACCTTTGGTTTCGTGAATGCAGAATGCCAACGTGTTCCATACAACACACAAGAAGAGACCATAACCTGGCACTCAAATCCTTCTGCCACATCCGCCACAGGGGCAAATTCTTCTTTGATATAACTTTATGTCCCATACACACAAACTGTATCCCTTTAGCTCCTTGATATGTTTCACCACAGAGATAGCTGGGTTTCCAGGACAGGCAATTTGATTTCCATTCAGTTTAGAAAGTGTTTGGGGATTTTTCAGCTGATCTTATACATATAAGATCAAGGTCAGCACTTATGAGTAGCTAAAAAAGCAAGAAATACAGCTTTGCAAATGATACCGAATATATTTTAAGCATGGAAAAAACAAACAAGCCAAAAAATAAGCTTGCAGAAAGACAGCCACCAATCAAACCATGTCCTATGCCCTCTTACAGACTTAAGAGAAAGGATGAAATGTTAAAAATATTATATATATATATATACACACACACATATATATACGAAAAGATCAGTAATTCCTCAAGGATAACATTCCTGAAGGGACTATATCTTTCTTAATCATTGCTACAATTCCAGTTCTTCTAAGGGCTGAAGTGCAGAGAAGTTACCCGCAAACTGAACTCTAATGATACTGAAGGTACTGCTGGAAAAAAAGCCCTTCCCCATAATATAGTCAAGAAAGCAAAGACAAAAGTGTCCTTAATCTTGCCTTATGTTTTATCTTATTATTTATAACACTAAAAAGAATCTTGTGCATTTGACAAACTTGGTTTTATGTAACAAAACACCTAAAAGAACCCTCTAAAGCCTTTGCCCTCTGCTATTCCTCTGCAGCAGTACCAGGAAAGACAGAAAACTACCGGCGCAATTCCACTAAATCAGGGAGTTGGCAACATTTCACTACTATTAACTCTCTCACTGACCAAAGCCCATGCTCAGAACATTCCTCCCCTTCTGAGGACACAGATGCGTGTACCTGAAGGCCCCGGTTCATGTTCAGCAACTTATTTAAATACACGCTCAGCTATAACCATGTAGATAGCCCTGGTATAATCAATATAGATGAACTGGGCTAATAAAAGCACAAGAAAGGGCATGCATTGAAAGCACCACAGTTATTACCTCCTTATATCTCATCCTGAAGCATTTAATGCGATTTTTCCTAATTTTAGGAATTCAGTTTTCAGAGAATATTCTTCCCTGCAGTTTACTGGGACATTCCTGAGGTTGGAAATCAATAAATGGGAAAAAAAAAAAAAAAAAAGTAGTATCTGCCAGCAAGTTTGTTTCTGAGGAATGGAGATGGAGGCTAGTACTCCTTATACAGGTGCTGAAGTGAATGACTTTCTGCTGTCCCTTAAAGGAAAAGTCATACAACAAAATGCCAGGTACTGCTAATCGGAGCTTTAACTCAAAATGAAACTCCAAAGCGCTCTGCTACCTTTATTTTAGCCGCCTGCATAATTAACCCCCAAAGATGCTGTTAACATCGCTGGTGCCCAAATCCTACCGAGGGCCCCCCCCCCTCTGCGAGAGGCTTTGAGCAATAAATAACGCCTTTCCCACGGCATCTCCGAGATGCGCTGCAAGCAGCACTGCCGGACAGCGATGCCCGCCGCCCGCAAGAGCAGCCCGGCTACTCCCGCAGGCAGATGTTCCTAAATACGCTCCCGGCGCCGCTCAATTGAAATCGCCCCGGCCGATATTCCCCTTCCCTCCACCTCCCCGCCGCCGTCCCCCGGTACGAAGAGGCCTCTCGCCGCCGCGATGCGGCCGCCCCCGTCCTTGGGCTCTGCAGCACGGCGGG